TTTTACACAAATTGCTCAAAGTCTGAGTAAGGGAGGCTCCTTACAGACCGGGAGACGACAGAAGTCGCAAGTGAAGCGAAGCTCACTTCGTCGTTCATGGTCGTCTCCCGGTCTGTAAGGAGCCTCCCTTACTCAGACTTTGAGCAATTTGTGTAAAAACAACGGTTTTGGGGTCGTGGGTACCCATACAATGTAGATCCAAAGTCGGATTTTCTTTAAAAAAATATTCTGAATAGTCGAAATTCACCAGAATAATGACTATCTGGCGTGTACCGATACATCTACGACATCTGTGGGGTGATCAGTCACCCAGTAATTAGCAATGATACCATGCACCCATCCCTGTACCTCTATCCCGCCATGATAATGTTCCATTCTGCTGCAAACCCTTCAGCACACCAAACTCACAATCTTGGCCAAGACCAACACTTTGCGACCTCCTTCATCACAACTGCCCCCAATCATACCAGTATCATTTCCACATGTGGTTCAATGCTGGTACAGACTGTCCCAGGGTTGAATCCTACCACTCAGGGCATATCTATGCTATTGATACACTGCAGAAAGTGAGCTTCGAGAGCCAACAACTAAGAGAAACTGAATGCATCATGGCATGTGCTGTGTGTGTATTGTATGACTCCTTCATGGGAAATGAGAAGTGAGAAACAATCATGGGAGATCATCCAAGCTTGGAGCTCTCATGAATGTATTCGGGAAACATAGATGTATGCAAGACGACAACACCGGGATCTCGGAGTGCGAAGAGAAATATTGATTGCACAGCTAGTATTGAACCGTACCGAAGTATGCTCACCGACACATTCTGACACAAAGACTACTGCAGGTGGTATTTTGTTCCATGGACACGAGTAATGACATAGGCAGTTCAAGAACTGTCCAGATCGAAGAAGTTCAGTGACTGTGAGGATACATACATGTAAATGCCCAGCATTTGAAGTCGAGGCAAATGGGTACAGACACTTTCAAAACCAGATAGAACATGGCAATTTGTCTCAATATCAGTAGGGATGGGACGAGCGAGAACGAGCGGGAGCGAAAGAAAGCTGAACAAAGACCAAAGCCGATGGTTTGGCCGCCGGTTCTCCTGCGGAGTTTGTCTCCGCGGAGTCTCCGCGGCGGACGTCCGCGGGAGGCCCGCCGCTGTGCGCAAAGCAAGGAAATCAAAAGAAGCACTCGGTTAATTTAGGGTGACATCTCCGTGCCTGGATTAGCCGGTGCCTGCTTCGATCATCGTTTCAGGGAGTGATGGGATGTCCGCAATGTAAAATCTATAAAGAGGAAGCCCAGATTGATTAGGATGCCGTCCGATGTCTTCCCCATCCCCAACATCGTACTTGGCATTTCTTGATGGCGTGATCGACTTTACTTTGCGACTCGCGGAGGCTGGCGACCGCTTCCCCGTGGCGCCTCCGCCGGACGTTGGGCCGGAGCTAGTCGCGGAGGTCCGCCGGATTCTTGAATGTGTTCGCGAAGCCCAGAACAATAGAGGTAAACTGTGCCCAATCATGCTACGGAAACTTCTAATCCGCTTCCTTAGTCACGGTTCCCTGGGATAATCGATCTTATGATGTGGCTGTAGGCGGCCATGAAGGGCGCACCTGGTCTTTTGAGATGGCCCTGCGAGAACAGTTTCGACCCTTACCGACCATGAGCATCAATCGACCGACCTTATTTGAGGATATCAAAAACCAAGCTCTGGTCTACTATCTCTCAGAATGTATTTCCGAAGGTCGACAGGTCAGTACATGCAGATGTTGGCGACCTCGTACTCACAAATGTATAGGCTCGAATCGCAGATACCATTGGAGTGTTGGCTCCCACATTTCGGGCGAATGGGCCCAAAGTCATACGGAAGCTGCCCGGAGCTCCTCGCTCCGCAGCAGCCTGGCGCAATGCGGAGAACTTATTCCTCAAGTCCCACCAATGTGATAAGTTCGGGCGCGGCAACATCAGCGGCGCACCAGCGTGGCAGCAGCAGGCCAAAACTGTACGCGAAGCAACATTTTGACTCATACTAAGCTAAACGACTGCAGGGCTGGACGAGTTCTATTCATGTCTCCGCGGACCTTGCGCCTCCGCCGGGGAAGCGCGGACCCTCCGCCGGACAACTCGGGTTCCAAACTTTCTTCGCGGAGAATCTCGAGACCGGGATTCTTGTTTCCACAGCTCTGGTCCTTACCCATCCCGAGCAGTATGCTCTCACTAGGGCAGCACTCGAACGTCTGTCCACCATCGACCACATCTCCGAGCGACTCTTGGAATGGTCGTTTTCGTTTAATGTTGTGACGGTGATCGCGAACCGTCAAGCCCCTTTTCATCGAGACAGATCAAGTGGAGGATCCGAGTGGTTGGAGGTGCTACTTACGATTGGAGGTGATCCTGAGACTGTGCTAGAACTGCCAGGAATTGGGGTCCGCTTTCAATATCGGTCGGGCACAATGGCACTCTTCGCTGGCTATACACATCTTCATGGTGTTAGCGAGTCGACCAAAGAGCGAGTGTGCATCGCGAGTTATGCACGCCCTTCGGTGCAAAGGCTATTTCGTCTTCACAACCCAGATCCCCCGACAGTCATGAGATCGCTGCATCACAACCTGTGGAGGCAATACATTGCGGACATACTTGCATGGGCTCGACAGCCTGAGTTTACCTGCTAGTTACAGTCATTCATAGATTCTTACTATACCCCATAGCCACCTAATCAACTTGACGAGCTTTACCCTTTGACTTCGAGGAAGACGCGGTTCCTTCTCCGCGACTAGGCTCCGCCGGGCCCCCGCGCGGTGCGTCCGTCCGCACAGAGATGTTCTCCGTAGTCCGAATGTCCGCCAGCCTCCGCCGGATTTCGGCCTCACGCGCAGGTCCGCCGGGGATGCGGTCCAGCTCAGCCTGCACATCCGCCGGAACCTTCGCATGGGGATGGCTCTTCAGATAGATTTGAAGCAGATCGAGCTCACGACGACGGACTTGGTCTTGAAGGGCGGCAACGAAGCCCTCGTTGTCGTCCTCGAGCGCATTAATCTGCGCAAAGAGGCCTTGCAACTCATTGACGAGTGCAGGTTCGTGAGCAGTGGCCATCTGGCCCCAGCGCTATGTCGCATAAGCATAATGCAAGGACGAGAATTTGATTGATCTCACCATCACCTTAGAAAACAAGTCGGCGGCTTGGGTAGAACGAACCGGACGCTCTTTCGCAATGAACTGCCCATCGGGCAACCACCATTCCAACTGATTATGCTCCATGCCAGAGGTAAACTGGAACAGGCTGTCTGCCGCCTTGAAGTTCTCGTCCTTGATGGGATATACGATCTTCTTGCCTTGCGTATCGAGAAGTCCGTCGCCTTCAGTGATTGCTTGGGTGCGAACGAAATGCAGACCACTACCCTCCGGATCCGAGAGCTTAGCATAGATGTCTTGTGTGCGGGCGGACGGCGCGACACCGAGAATAGCAAGAAGGCCGCTGACACTGTCCATCTGGGCCTGCAACCTTTGTTAAAGAGACTCGGCCAGGGCACTGTACTGCATACCTCCTCCTGCACCAAACCCCGAGTTAGCCAGTTGTCTTGCTCGAGAGGTACAGGAGCATTGATAGTAGTGTAGATTAAGAGAGAAGACAGGCTAGCGCAGATGCGGTTGATCCTGTGAGCAATCCAGTACCACTCGGCTTTGCGAAGAAAATTGTCGTTTCCATCCTTCAGCACATTAATCATGGTAGCCTTCTCGGCCTCTTTGTTGATATTGGACATGGCGGTTTGGTGCAAGAAGCTTATCTCAGTTTAGGGGATCCTTGATCGCATGTGGCATGATCGATGGGATCCGCGGAGCCATCAGCGCGAGAAGAAGAATGCGGAGAGTCCGGGGAACGTCCGCCGTGATAGGCTCCGTCGATCCATCGATCAGATCATCTCCGCCGTTTGTTCGTTTAGATCGCCGCGCGGAGATCGCGTGATAGTGATGGTGCTAATCTAATCTAGCCCTTGTCTCTTGCCACCATCATGTCTCAGCAAGCATACCGTCATCAAGCTCTCTGGGACTCAATGCAGAGTCGGCTTGCTGAAGCCATCCTGCACTTCAGCCCATTGATGTACCACGACGATCTGATCAAGGCATTCGAAAGTGAACTCGTGAGTCTGCAACAAATGTAAACTATATCTATTTCTCCATGCTCACAATTACAGGACGTTCTTAAGGCTATCATTGGACGGACCCGGCTTTTGACTGGGGAAATGCCGCCTGAATCGAAGTTCATGAAGGCCATCGTCCGTGTGTTCTCAATGGGTGCTCATGGTGATTGGACCTTGCTTCGTCCGGCAGCTCTCGAGTATGGTGTGATTCATGGCGGAGTCGCCACGCGGGATACGACTGGTCTTCCTCAGTGGTGGCTTCGATACCCGGCCGACTGCCTCGGCTCGCATGACGAGGAAGGAGAGCCTTACATCCCGGACAGCATCAATGAGCATTTTAGTATTCAAGGGTGGGATCTGGCGGAACATATCATCTTTCGTGGTGGTGGCGACATCGGCATGCAGGTATACCTCTCATTGAATGACTTGAACGGCTCTAACGAGCTGCATAGGTGAAGTCCAAGCCTGAGGGTGAGCTTGCTGAGTTTCATGTCGCCCTATGGCGACTCCAAACGGCCATGCAGCCTATGCAAGCTGCAGCTGCACAAGACTGGACCGATCTCGCAGAGCTCTTCAGCATGGAGGCTGCCGCGCATCTCTCAAAGGCAGTGGAACTTCATCCGCTTCACCTTCAGGAGCGGTTCGCCATGTTTCAAGCAAAGGGGAACCCGACGGAGTCAGGAGCAGGCGCCGCCTCCGCGGCTGGCGGGGCCCGCGCAGAGACTGCTGGTACCTCCGCGTCAGGCGGACGCCCCGCGGAGAAAGCAAACGCTTCCGCGCGTGGGGGGGTCCGCGCGGAGCCTCCGGCAGCTGGCAAGTCTCGCGGAGATGCTTCGGCCGGTTCCTCCGCGGAGAATCCGGTCAAGATCGATCTTGACAGCTCCAATTCCGGGGACTCCGACGGTGACGTACGCAGCGTAACCCCGCCGGGGGCCCGCCGGACGCCCGCAGCATCTCCTCGCAGTGTCTCCTCTGTCGATTTTGGTCCTTACAAATTCTGAATTGTACAAGCCTCGCATTACATACAACTGCTCATCTATGCCTGCACATGGTGCAATACCAAGTTGATTCATGCCTCCCCACTCAACCGTGAGCTCCTCCTAGGTGTAGATACAGGGGTATCGAAATGTACGGTCTTCCCTGGTGTTTGCGATCTCCGAGTACTTCCTGTTGCACTTGATGGCTTCAAAACCGGCTTGGGCTTACGAACCATTTTTGGCCTGGGCCTTGGCTTAACCGACTTTGCTGGTGCGGGCGATGCTGACACTCGTTTCCGTGGAGTAAGAAGTACTTCAACCACTTTTGAAGGTGGCTTTCCAGTAGAACTAGGAGCTGCGGAGGTGTTGCTATTGAGCCGTCGTCTCTTCGTCGGCCGAGGGGCATAATGCTCAGAGGTGTCGGTATTGGCGTTCTCATCGCTCTCTGTATGCTGTTCGTCTCTCTCCGGCTCGGAGTTCTCAGTGTCGGAGGGCCCGCCATCAAAGTCCGTTGAATCAAGAAGATCGAGGTTGTCCGATCCTCGGCCAGTGTCTTGCTCGTCTGGCTCTTCTGCCCGTTTACGTGCTGACGGCCGAGGTCTCTTCTTAGGCCGACCAATTGACGGAGCCTTCTTTTTCCTCTTGGGTTTTGCCTTGTCGATCGACTTTACTCCTGACACGGGATGGGTGGACTTGCCAGTCCGGGCAGCCGTGCTGGCACGGCTGCTTTGCTGGATTGGCTGATGATAGGTAGGCTGTTTCCTCTTGCGGCTAGAGGACTGCGGAGCCGGCGTTATAGTGGCGTCATCGAGAAGAGTAAAGTCGACAGGTGGAGGAAGCTCGGGGACCTGTTGGTTGGTGGTCGAGGAGGTTGCTGCCGTCGTACGAGGTGTAGGATGCTGACGCTTCTCAGCCTGACTCTGCTCGCGAACCTCTCGGTTGTGGGCCATTCTTTCCCTCTCCCGGGCATGCAGTTCGAAAGCGAGCTGTTGATTCACTTCTCCCTGTGTATTAGGCCTTGTCGTGGCATGGTGTAAGAACTCTTGCAATCGATTTCCGTCCCTGTTCGTCCTTCGTGCGGCCTCTAGCAGCTCGGGTGCTGGTCTCGAGCTTTCCGCATGCTTTCGATGGCGCCTGACTGAGGGATTCGATACAGGCCGGGTGCCGCGTGGGTCCTCCGCGGCGGCTCCGCGATGCCGGACGTCGCGGGCCTCCGCCGGTGAACAACCTTCCGCCCCGCCTCCGCCCCCGCCTCCGCTTCCGCCTCCGCCTCCGCCTCCGTCTTCCTCCCAGTCCAGATCCCCCAGGTCAACCTCCTTTTCCAGCCCGAGCTTCTGTAATACGTCCACGTTACTGTCTGCTTGTGCAAATAGTAAGCTCAACAATTCCCCCTCAGAACCCCGGAGCTCCGATCGTTCCAAGTGGCCCAGCTGATCCCAGTCTTCGTTCGCGATACTTTGAAGGTCTGCTAAAAGGCAAGCCATAAGCAATAGATGCTTCAGGGCTATCTCGCGGGAGATAGGAAGGCCTGTGGCTGGGGTGACAAAGAGATTTGGCGAGCTTAGCCAAGTCTTGATGTCGTGAACTATATCTGGTGCCTGGTGGGAAGCCAATGGTAATCCTAGTCGGGGTGATTGCCAAGACGGAAAGTCAGGCATCTGAGCGAGAGTGACTGCAGCAGAGCCTTCAGTGTGGTCAGGCTACCGATCTCTCAGCAAAGACACCGTGATATACATCTTTGGACTCACCATGTGCTGCACCAGACCTAGCAGCTGCACGAGCTCGTAATGCATGTCAAAGACCGTGCATAGATAGGCGAGCCTTGAGCTGGCGATCTCGTATTTTCGGCTTGGCGAAATACCGGGATAGGCGTTGTCCGACGTCGCCTTCTCAAGATACCGTTTGAACCTCTCCCCAATTCCCTTCAGCTCTCCGTAGTCCATGTCGAAGGGTCCTGTAGAGGAACTTGTATAACGGAGATACATTAAGAATGCCAGGATGAAACACCAAGCCATCTCGTTGCCGCAATATAGTTGGGAGCCTTGATGTTCGAATGTCCACGGAGATGCGCGGAGGTACGTCTGGAGGTCCGCGAGCTCGACGGAGGTCGTAGGTCCGCGAAAGATGGTGGACTTCCAGTCCACCATCTTCGGTAACGTAGGCTTCACCTTGTGTTTTCGGAATGGTGTCAACGGGTAGCCATGATTTCGAACAAGCTGAGAACAGTTGAGTAGTCGAACGCAGTGCCATAGTTCATACTTACCGGTAGTTCTGCCAGGAGTGTGATGCACCTTTTCAGGATGAACCCAGGAGTCAGTGCGTTGTCGCTGACCATATCCAGAATATCGTAGGCCCACTGTGCTCTGGCTTCTCCATTCCCAGGCACAGAGGCGGGTACAGGCCACCCGTCATCAGGAGCTGGAGCGGAACTTCGTTTCACGAGGTAATCGTCGGGATCGGCAATTGTAAGAAAAGGTGGGGGATCGATTAGCTTGTCCTCTTGCCAGCTGGCCTCGTTGTGTACTCGTTGTTTTCTGGAGCTCCCGTAGAGACTGAGCACCCTGTCGGGTCGGTGACGACTCGCGTGCGCCTCCCTGGGAGGTACCTGGTTGCCTGCTCCGCTGCCGGTCCCCGCCGGGCCTCCGGCGGAGGCGGAGGTTGCGGGATCCGGAGCACGTCCGCGCGCCTCCGCAGCGCCTCCGCTTTCTACGTCCAGTTCTCCGCCCGCCTGTCCTCCAGCTCGGTAAATCGGTCTCGCGTTTAAGGCCTTCTCTTTTGCCTTCTCAAACGCAGCCATCTCGGGACTGACTGCCCACCATCTGACATCCAAGTCAACTGGCTGTCGAGGTGCGGTACCACGAAGCTTGTAGGCCTTGAAGCAGATCTCCCCCACTTCATGGAAAAGATGTCGTAGCACTCTCATCTTGTCGTCGTCGCGAAGCTTGCTTGGATCGGTCATCTTTAATCCCTCCGGAAAGTGCTTTAGGTCCAAAACCTCTCCCTCGGGAAGATAGATCCAGGGCGGCTGAAGTGAGCGTGGATCTCGCGATGTGATGTTTGCTGAAGCAGAACTTTGTCAGCCCTCCACCAGAACATCGTGCTTGAGGGGAATGTGCATACCATGTCCCATGCGAAAAATGGCATGGAGAAGCTGAAGCCTTTGAGCGAAGAAAGCTTCTTCGTTCCAATCTTCTTTTCGCAGCCTGACTGCATCCCCCCCCATGAAGTCTTTCGGATCGAAGTCATAACAGGTCAACTCGTCAAAAGCACGAGCTGGTTTCTTGGCCTTCTTTTTCACTGGATCGGACGCGCCTGGAAGTTGGCTGTTAGCTTATGATCAATGGAACTGCCAGCATGACCCTCGTCATTGCGGAGCAGCGCCGCGGAGACTCGGCGGAGGCTGGGGTCCCGCTGTAAAACACCGGCGGAGCCTCCGCACGGAGATAGTGCCTCGCGGAGGCCGAGCTGCTCTGAAATAGTCTTCAGGATTTGTTACTGACCAACTCTGGTTGTTACGTGGTTTCTGAACACTGCGAGGGTATCATCCATCGGGGTACGGTCTTCCACAACTTCGTCCCCCAGTCCCAGCTCCCGACTGAAGTCATAGCTATTGTGCACGTTAGCATCTGCTTGTAAGATATATGTCTCGCACATACACCCTAGATTTGATGTCTGTACCGGGCTCTCCTATTGCAAAAATAAACGGGTAGATGCCGTAAACCTGCAAACATTTCTGTGCACAGTTAAGGAGAAACTTTGCACAGTGCTTTGCATTCTTCCTAGGTAAAGTCAGACTCCCTTCTCGCAGTGGATTTTTTGGGGCCTACTTCTTCTTCATCTCTTTTGGAATGCCGGTCCTGCTCCAACTTTCGGCTAGAGTCTTGATAGCCTCCCGCTCGTCGTCGCTTAAGGTGTAGTAAATGGCAGCCCGTGCCTTTGGATATTCGGCAATCCAACCATCTTTACTCCCGGCTGCGAGCCCAGTGAGGTCATTGCAAAGATCCACAATTGCCTCTTCATACACGGCGCCGCATACATCCATCTCGTCCCACGAAGTCTTCGATTCGCCCGGCAGCTTCACTACCGTCCTACGCATTCGTGACCGCTCCTTGAAGAAGTTACTGACTGCCTGTTGTAAGATTGATCAGGGCTGCCCGTGATGTAACTGGAGTTGACTTTGAGATTGACGGAGTGTCCATCGCGGGGGCCCGGCGGAGCTCCAGCGGCGGACCCCCGCCACTTTGTCCGTGCGCGAAAACCACGATTCTTGGCAAAAACCCTCTTTTGGTAACGGGAGGCTTGACTTGGCCACGTACCTGTTTCTCTCTATGCCATTTTGCATTTGCAGTCTTTGAAGGCCACAAGGCTCTGATCTCCCATTCAATTTCCTCGCCCTCCCATACAAGTCGGAATGACTGCAATGCAAAAGACGTCCTTTCTTGACCATCGAGTTTGATGTAGTCGTCGACTAAGGGTTCGAGAACTTTGATTTGGGAAGCATTAAGTGTCAAGGTAGTGATATGGTAGGGTGCTCTCTCCCCATAGGTCGGATCCACCTCCTCATTGTCGCTATCCATAGTTCGGGGCCAGAGTTGGTGATGGTCGTGTTAGAAAGACTTTGCAACACAGAGCCCGCATTGATGCCCCTCTTGCCTGACGTGGATAAAGCGATCACGCCCTGGAATTTTCATCAGATCTCCTTGATCCGCCGTTTACCTGATGTGATGGTTCCTGATCATCTGATGCGCACTGTTACCTTGGTTACGTCAGAGAGCTTGATGTCTTGACAAGCAGTGAACAAGAGGTTGCTTCGCAGTGCCTCAAATAACCCCTCATATCATTACATGCTTTTGTTGAGATAGATTCATGCTGTCTTGCTTGGGAGACTGAAGATACCGGCCGAGGCCTTTTAAATCAGTCGACTGTGTTCCTTTCCGAGGTAATGGAATTTTGTTTACGCAATAAAAGACCCTTAGACAACATCAAATAGATAGGTAATCAGTCCAAAGGCTTTTTGCAAAGGTTGACCAGATTGGATGTTAAACAACAAGGGGAGTACAGACACGGTGCCAAGCGGGTCCGCGGGCCCTCCGCCATGCCTCCGCCGGAGGCATATGTAGACCCGAGTCCGTTGTTGGACAGTCGCCCGACATTCATGAATTCCCTTCAGGATTTGCTCGGAGTTCCGATTTTGCTTGTGGAAACGTCTTTGATTGGAACCAGGCCAGAAACATATTTCTTTTGCCGAGTACCTCCGCCGGGACCCCGCGGAGGCTGTTCATATTTTTCGACTCGCTTATATTTCTTAGCAGGACAGTCCTTGAGAATCTTTGGAATGACACCTATGTTGTTTTTGTGCAATGGACCTTTCACTGTCTCTGGAACTTGCATTGAGTTCAGGGCAGTGAATAGATAGGCTGCTGCTATTTTGGAGCAAATCGGTTTCTTTATTGCCTGCCTATCTCGACCGAGGATAAAAAACTGGCTCAGTACACAATTCATCATGGGAAAAGTGTCTCTTTCGGTTCTTTTATGGAGTTATTTAATGCCAGAGGTCCAGAGGGCGGGATTTTGGGGTGAATCAATTTACAACCTCATATCGGATGGCAGGCCTGGCGGGCTACCCTAACCTTGTTGGTAGGGCTTATGACGTCATGTGTTCATTAGGACGGGCCCCCGCCTGAAGATTTGAGGTCGTGCGCCGGCAGGGCGGGATTTGGGCGCGAATCAATTTACGACCCCGTCTCGCATGGCGGGCCTGGCGGGCTATCCTAACCTTATTAGTAGGGCTTATGACATTGTGTGTCCTTCAGGACGGGCCCCCGCCTGAAGATTTGAGGTCGTGCGCCGGCAGGGCGGGATTTGGGCGCGAATCAATTTACGACCCCGTCTCGCATGGCGGGCCTGGCGGGCTATCCTAACCTTATTAGTA